AATGAGACACATGCCGTATGACTTCTATCACCAGCAGGGAGGTTCCACAGAGCAATCCAAGCCTAACTGCAGCACAAAGTTTGTTTGTGGCAAACAAACCAAAGCTCAATGCAAAGAATGATCTTTCTAAGTAAATGTCATGAAACTGGCCACATCTAGTAACCTCTCTAGTAACCTTCTCTTTGCAAAGCCTGTAATCAGTTTTCCTCAGCAAAAAAAGGACGTTTGAGGGAATCCAGGCAACAGCAGAGAAACCTCCCATACCTCTTCCAAACTCTTGAAGAAAAAACAGCAACAATCCCTCCCAATATAAAAGCTCACTTGTTTTGCAAAACTATTTTAAAGTGATTGTTTAGTTTTAAACAAAACCCCTATTAATATTCACCTACATATTGTGTTTTCTGTAACTGTAAAGTTGTAAACCAGCACAATTATAATGCCAATTTGGAGCCAATTAGAACACTGAATTGTTCACATAGCACTTCCAATTAAAATCTGGATAAAGAAGCTCCATGATTGAACATGAGCTGTGAGGATTCACAGATGTCATTTTGGAGCCATTGACCCACAAACCAAATTTATTTGAGGCTTGGAAAACACAAGAAGATCTGCAAACAGTTTAAGTGTTGATATATTTTATGATACATTTCACAAAAAAATATAGGTGATATACTAAGAAGATATATGGCATCATTTTGTTCTTAACTGAAGTAAATATGAAAAGTAAGGCAAGACAGCTGAACTCTAGGCCTGCATTAGCAAGAGTTTGCTCATGGAACCATTTCACTAAATTCTCCTGGTGGACTCAAAAGGTGTGTTCTGTTTCCCAGAAACTTTATAGCAGTTTCACAAAACAGAAGAAAAATCTGTTCTGGAAAAGGGATGTTTTTTGCCAATGTAACTCCATCTACACTAGGACAATTGTGTCTGTCAAGGTGTGACAAAAAACTTACTTATGCAGTAAATAGAGCTTTCAAGCAGCAGGGATAAGCTTCCAAAAGAAACTTCCAAATAGGTCCATAACCCTAATCCTTGCTTGACAGGCATAGTGTACATTTCTAATGAAGAAAATTAAATCATTAAGAAGTGTCACATTAGAAAAAGTTCCGTAGAAGTATTACTAAGAGACGATATTCAAAAGCACAGCTGCAAATGATCCTTTAGTCATATCAGGGAATAGTTTCAAAGATTAATTCAACTCCAGTGAGGAACTCTCTATTAACTTAAGAAGCCAAATCAATTGACTCCAAAAATGGAAATGAGCACACATCTAAGCTAGGGATATTGATAAGGCAACAGGAGGAGGTTCCATAAATACACCAGAAGGAAAAGAAAACATAAATCAAAGTGCAGAACAATTAGCAATGAAGAAATGACAAAACATGAAACCAACAAGGCTGAATTCAATTTCTTCTTTGCTTATATTCCTCCTACTCCAGAAAGGTTAAGCGTAAGTAGAGAGCAAGGAACAGGACCACGAAAAGAACAGGCTATCATTTAATCCTCACTCATTTAGTAAGCCATAATATATTAAACAGCTTAAGAGAACATTGGAAATAATGCATGAATGGACAACACAGATAGCAGCTACACCAAACATGAGCTAAAACCTCAGTTGTGCTGATTGGAAATATCAAAATCCCACAGAAATTATAAAGTACAGATCAGTAAGAAATCAACAAAAACTTTCTTCAGTCAAGGTCAGAAAACCAGCTTCCTTATAATAGCTGATACAGACTGAAACAGCCTTGCATGTAAAATGAGAGAACTGTCCATCAAACAGATGGGCTCTTCTTATGTAGGCTAAGATTATTTACCTTATACAGCTTCAGAAAACGTTATTGGCAGTGAGATGAAAAGGAAGGATTTTGGTCTGAGATGTCATTAGTTTCACACTGAGCTTGCTTTCATGCTGAGCTTCTCATCTCTGTGTATCCAATCTCCTATTACATTCAGCAGAGAGATCCTGTTCAATCCTGATCAAACAGGATCCCTGCCTGGACACAGGTGCCTACTGCCACTGGAGATGCCCTAGGGTTTCCCACCACTTCCAGATGTCAGCCTGGAAGTGTACAGACCCACCAAGGCCCTGCGTGATATCTGCCATGCCATGCAAATATCCTGGCACATCAAATGGCACATGCTGCCTTTCAAGTTTCCATCCCCTGTAAGTGAAAGACAAGTACCTTACTCACATGTAGACACATGTAATACAGTACATTCAGGTGTCAGTCTGGAGTTGGGTACTGCCCTCTGTCTCTGAACTTAAGTGACCACCTGCTAGTGATCCTAGCATTTTTTGTATAAATATTGTTCTATTTTTTCTTTTCAGTCATCTTCTCTCTTATTATCCTCATTAACTATGGATTTCATATTACTTTCACATGCTCTTTATTCATGAGTCAATTGTATTGCACTGTTTTCTGTTCACACACAGTCTTATCTATTTATGACTTTAGGTAAAATTCTGTTTCAATGCAACTTTGAGAGTAGTTTCTACAGGGAAGATTCCCTGAAGTCTTTTTTCCTGTTTATGTGGATTAACATGTGAAATAATGTTTAAATAAACTGGATAAATTTGCATTAGGCCAGACTCAAGCAATCCAGATCTGACATACAGCTGACTTCCAAAGTTTCCTGGGTAATGCAGCAAGCCCCAACAGAAAGGGAAAAGGTAAACACAGTTGCCATCTACAGAAACAAAGGAAAGGAAAGGACAGGGGTTACAGGGAAACCAGCATAACCTGAAAACATTCCAAGATAAATTATTCTGTAAGTGCATAAGCATACAAAACAGTTAACACAAGTTTTTTGTGAACAAACGGTATATATAAAAAAATTCTTTTCTGATAAGACAAACAAGTCTGGAATATTAGAGGAATGTAACAAATACCTTGAAATTTATGTGGCCTTTGTCCTATCTGATGTTCCTCAGAAATTCACCCATGGAAATATTGTTTAGACTAAATCACCTGTTGAGATGGTTGCACAACCAGATTCATATAAACCTGAGCATCATTATAGGTGTCCCACAAAGTTCAGTGCTGGGTCCGTTATCTTCCAGAAATTTCACTAATGAAGTCAATGATTTTTAAAATCCCACACAACAACAACACACTTTTGAAATAAAATTGCAATCTGGGAGGGGATGCATTTACAAACCTAAATGGCCTCAATATGCCTGAGAAGTGGACTGAAATAAACATGAAATATGTGTAAAGTACTCTACAAGGAATAAAAAAGAAAAAAAACAAGTTACCAAAAAAAAGTTACAAAACAAGTCCATCTGGTTAAGTAGTAGCACAGCAGAAAAGGATCTACTGAGACCACAGACTGAAAAACAGTTGTCATGCCAAACAAAAATATACCAATGTCCCTCTGGATCATGGAAGCTTATTCTGCCCAGCATTCAGAGCCTCAGTTAGATAAGCATAACCAATACCGGCATCACACTTTAAAAGTCATGCACACAGTCAGAAAGATTTCAGAAAATAAAGTCAAGCAGATAATATACTCAGGAAAAAAAAATACAGGAAACTATTAAAATCTGTAGGTTCATCTATATCATTAGAGAGCCACCAGTTAAACAATAACTGACAAAACCCTCACATTCACTTGCAACCCAGATACAAAAAGGATGAAAACTGTAAACCATACAGAAATCCATTGCCTGTTACAAGAAGCAGTAGATTACAAAACATAAGATTTTCCTCTTAAGTCTCTCAATTTGGCTTTCTGAGCTAACCTCTGGAACACATCTCCTCATACTTGTTCTTCCCCTGCTAGATGTACCTGTCAGTACAGGATCTCACATCTGAAGTTCAGCAGACCACCTACGTGTCCTTAAACAACATGTAAGGTTTTATCAGCATAGTTTCTGCGAGTGAAATTGTTTTTATAACAGGATACTTTGTCAGTCTTGTGGGCTGAGGAGGAAGGGAGGGGCAAGACTCATACTTGCATGATTTTGTGGTGGTTTATACACATAGTTCTGGCTGAGATGAGCACCCCAGCATCACCGTGACTGTGGTCAGGCAAAGAGCACAAATGGCTGTAAATTGCTTTCAGAAACAGATAAACCAAGACAGAGAGTCACCTAATTAAACGAAAATATCTATGTCTAATCAAGTATCTAAACCTGAGCTAGCTGACGTGCTCCCTTCATTGGCAATGGAGATGTTGTCAACTTAACCTCAGGAGGAATTCATCTCACCCTCATGCAAGACAAAATGGGCAAAATTGACTCAGATGAACTGCACTCCAGAACTGGCTGCTTTCTTTTCGATTGTGAAAGGAACCTAGGATAAAACTCTTTGGTTTAGATATGTAAAAATTTAGTGAAATCCCACCCTACATATGTAATGACAAAAGTAGTGAAGAACGTAGAAACAAAAATGGAAAGGAAAAGCTAACAATATTAGAAAAGAAATCAGGAGCTCAGTAATATTTACTAATAAAATAGTAAGGTGAAGAACTATCAGCTAGAACTCAGCAGAATTATCCTTTACCTGATAATGTTGATTTGATAAAAAGTATTTACGTTTACATTTGCAGAGTTTGTTAGTTCTGGCAAGGCCTATGAAATTAAAATAAGTGTCAAGCTTGAAGGAAAATTATATGATAAAACAAAAATTGAGAAGTTAATTGAAATTTCCATAGCCCTCTATATCTATTTTTAATTATAAGAATTTAGATTATTACAAGAAAATGAAAGGACAAAATACATGGTCATACTGAAGTATTGTTATTGAGTTGTTTCACATTCTATAGTAAATACTTCACAGAATGCTTCAATGTAATTTTTAGCTGCAACTGGGAATAATTGAGTTCCATAAAGTTATGAAAAAATGTTAATGAGTAACTTATGAAACTGATATCAAACTGTAGTATGATAAACGTAACTTGCTGGGGGCACTATTTAGAGCCAAAGAAGGCTGGGGGTTTGTAGGATTTGATAAATACACACAAATTTTTAAAACTGCACACTTTCTCAAACTTACCACTGGTGACTCTCAGCACTCCTGTCATCCAGCTGAACAGCCTTTTCAGCTTTAATCTTTCCTGTAAAAGGAGTAGAATATATTAAAGGATTTATTGTACTCTTCTACCTGTTAGGTGGCTCCCAAGAACAAACCGACCTGATACACTCTAGCAGCAAAGAAGAAACTGCTTCCTGTTCTTAGCAACATTTAGATGGACAATGTAACATCCTGGCTTTACATCATTTACATTGCCATACAGATATATATACACACACATATACACATGCATGCATCTATTTTTTTTAATTTATTATTATTTTTATTTAAATCTAATTCAGATGCAGTTAAATTAGGGAAGGATTGGATTGGACTGCCAAAGGAGACCATGTCATCTGTAAGACTGAAGACTCTTAACAGCAGGTTGGAGAAGCACCTGTCAGAAGAACCAGCAAAGCTGTTTCCTGACTTGGATACACAAATAAACTAGCTGAAGTTTGTTTCTAGCACAAAGACTTCCCTTAAGTTCCACTTAACTGACTAAAAGTTCCACTAACTGAATAAAGATGACAGTAGGTGATTTGATCAAACTCATGCTCCCAGTAAGAAGTTCAGATGAGATGCTTGCTGTTTGCAGAGTCTCAGCTGCAACCAATTAAGCCACACTGACATTTCTGTATTGCAAGTTAACTTCACAAAAACAAAGAATAGCATACACAGCCCTCCAACCCAGTGGAAGGAAAAATAACCACGAAACTACTGCCAGCTCCCCCGCAGCCTCAATCCCTCTGCACCACTTCCAAAAACTGAGATGAAAAAAGCTACCACCACCCCCGTTTCATGAAAATGAGCCAAACTAGGCTGGTTACTCAACATGGAAGACCCACTTTTACTTCATCATTCTGTACCTCTCTGTCTTTTGCTATGCCATTATCTTCCATCAGCTGAGGCTACATGCAGTCACCAGTAAAAGCAAAGGCTCCAACAACAGAATTTACTGTTGTAATTTACTTTGTGTCATAATCCTCACTGCACTGTGAGATTTCCATACAAAACAGCCAAGTTCCTACTAAAGCAAAGACAGTATCGATTAAGTAGCTAAGGCAGTGTAAGTCTTCCTGAGTAAAGGAAGTAACTAAAAGATAGTAATAAGGAAGGAACAAGGAAGAACAAGCTGAGATTGGCTATGGAGTATGTAAGGACAGCACAAAGACATGACACTGTCTTTTAGGATGACAAAGGGCATCCAGACTTCTTTGTCTGTGATGTTGTCAATGCTGACAGAATAAAAAGCTGACAAAAAGTATCACAAAAGACAAAATAACCCAAACTTGGAATACACTTAAAAACCTGATTTGGTGCAGCAAAAAAGAGAGAGGCAATCAAGAAGCAAAAGAGAGAGAGAGAGAAGTACTTCCAGGCAAAAATAATTATTTTAAGCACAGTGCGTTGACTGAAGGAGAGTGACACAGGTAGAGAAGATGTAGGTTTTAATGTAATGAAACGAAGGCGGTCCAAAAAGAAAAGGGAAACATAAACTGTACCTCCAGGCAATATGCATCCAGACAGCAAAGGAAAGGGCAATGCTTTTAAAAGCAACAAAGAAAAAGTGCTCTGAAGAAGAAAACCAGAACCTTGCGGAGATTAAGTTGTCAAACAGGATACACAAGGAGAGATGCCTAGAAGCAACACCAATTGTCACACACTTCTGTTTCTGGTCAACAGTTTCTTCAGATTCACAAAGTTTCATCCCCACTCTCATCACAATATATGCAGGAGTGGTCCTTGCCACAGGAAAGCAGAAAAACAAACCTTGACCCAACCTCGGCATTTATTTATTCTTCATGCTCTCCCAAAGATGTAATTAAGAAACTGCTGACAGTATCTGGGGTTTTTCACATTCTGTATTCATCTGATTCTCAACAAAATACAGGATTTTAAGGCACTATCCAGAGTCAACAGCTTTCGATTATGATCCACAATACTTCCCCTTCACCAATTTTGGATCTCTCAGTGAGGAAAAAATGAACTGAAGTTGTATACTGTGGCGGTTTATTGCACAAAATATTCTTATTACAGTACAAATGCTCCCATTTATTGGATTGCAAATTCCTTTCACTGGAAAACTAAAAGTTTAAAGCATGTTTCATTACATTCAGATAGCATTCTACATAAACATTTTTCTTCTGCTTACCATCAATAACATAGTTCCTCTTCTCCTCAGCATCAGTAGTCATCTCAAACAGATCTCCATAAGCACGTGCAAGTCTCCATAGAAAGTCCACACAGTTTTCATACTGAAAGTAGACCACAGCTGCATAATTAAATTGATCAGAATGTGATTTAAACAGTTTACATTCATAATGCTTAAAGCAAGTTATCAGAACATGTAATAATTTTTTCTTTATTTTGCATTTATCTACATACTACTTTTAGTTTATGTGAGAACCAATTGACCAATTTTCATTAACAAAAGAGAACACAGCTTTTGGAAACATTCTAGGCTGTCTAAAGAGTTTTATTTTATGAATCGGGTTAATATGAAAACTTAAAAATGTAAATATAAAAATATAATATAAATGAATATAAATATTATTTTAAAATTTTTAATATAAAAACTTAAAAGGTAACCCAGTAAAGCACAATAGATCCCTGAATGAAGTGATGTGTGTTTTCTTTAGGAAGGCCATAAGCACTACACAATTAATCTCTTATCTACCTTTCTGGGTATTCCAATATGTAAATGAAAATATAATCAGAACTAATGTTTGCCAAACTAGAAGAAAATGGTACCATGAATAAATCACTGCACAACAAACCACCCGGAAATTTTATTTGGAGTTACATATGTGCACAGTAAAGTCAAAGGAAAAATTCACATGAAGGATATCAGAGACAAGCAGACTAGATGCTCATAGTTATAATTTCTTGAGAACATTAGGTCTGCTTACTACTTAATTCCACAGGATTTTCTCACATAGACTATTCCAAAACCAGTAAAAGTATCATTTATGTAGAAAAAAGCCCATCATCTGTCTTTGTTGCATGCAAGAATACCTACATCAAACAAAGCCTCAAGGTTATTGAGCCTGAATGGGATATGAAATTGTAGAACTTTCATGCCCACACAACACGAATATTGACACCATCTTGAAATATTGCTTTTTCACTGTATTTTAAAAATATGCTTGAAATTTCATCTTCCATTTTTATGTGCATTTTAAAGCTCATACTAAGTTCTTAAAAGCAGTGCAAAGCATAAGTTAATAGAAACACAATATTAAGTTACCCCATAATACCTTGTTATCTTTCTCAAGCAGCAGTCTGAAGCCCTTCTTTTTATCATCCTCTGAACCCTTGTGCAAATTGTCCACCTGCTGTAAAAAATTAAATAACTCTTCTTCTTCTTCTGATTTCACCATGGCATCAGGTGCCTTCTTACATCTCTTTTCTTCCTCAGAGTCTCCTTCAGAATCAGTATGAGCTGTAAGATAACTAAAATCACAGAAAATAATAACCATTTTTATATAAAAATGTTGGTAAAGCATTCTTAAATTCAGAAGCAAAAATTTCAGAGCAAAATTTATCCCAGTTGTCCAACCTTAAAGGATTTTTTTATTCATGGTATCAAGCTTATTATTATTATTACAAAAGCTTTACCTTCAAAGGGACGGTACAATCATACTCCAAACATAACAGGCAAACAAGTACCCTGTTCTGCTGCTTAATACTTCATTAAAAAAATGTAGGTACATATTAGAAACATGTAGCCTTGTGTTTCAAACACAGAACACTTCAAATCATCCACATATTTTAAGACATGCTCTGTAACCCTGAATAGGCCTCTTCAACTCTTCAATTTCCCTATTTTTTGAAACTGGAATGAGCTTACAAACCAAAACAAAAGTGCTATAAGAATCATTTATACAATATTTTGTTAAACACTTTTAAGATCTAAATATAAGCCAATATAAATAACACCATTGCTATCAATTCATTATTTCTTTTGAGCATTCTGAAGTTCAGAATATCTCAAACTGGGAAAGACCTTATATTAATTAATTCTGCTTACTGCGTAAGTACTCAGCACAAGGCAGTCAAGGACAAAGAAATATTTACAAAAGCATAAATACCATGCAGAGATAAGCAAGTGGCCTTACTGTCCAAAGTGATGAGCATACATTAGAGTACTCCAATTTCACAGAGGAGTAGCTGATGGCATTGTTTTTAAAAAGTAGCGTTTTGCTCATGTATGTACTAAAAATGGAAAGAAAAGCCTCATCTTCCCAATTTCCACTTTTGAAAATACTGTTCTGGGGAGAAATAATAATGTAAAGGTACTAGGTTCAGAAAGACTTTTTTAAATGGTTACTAGGAGCACAAAAAGCATGGAATGTACTGCACACATTAAGTAACTGAATAATCAGAGTAGGCCATGACAGTCAAAATATATAAAATCTGGTTTTTTTTCAGAAATAGAACCAGTGCAGAATGTTACTGGTGGAGGTTATTAATCATAGCTTTTAAGTATCCCTTTTTCATTATGTTGCTTCCAGAAGTGTCCATTACTAACACATGAGCAAACACACTTTTAGCCTGCAAATGAACAAGTACAATGGCTTATCAAAGTATGGAAGTGCTAGATGTGGTATGACAGCTTTGCTGCAAAATTAACCCAGTAATATGGCAAAGAGCAGTCAAAAATACTTTTAGATAAAACAATACAGACATAAACCACATGTGCATGTTCAAACTGAAAAACATAATGGAGCAGAGCAGAGATAGGAAACTTCATAAGTTCCTACAGATTTGTTTTACATAATCTTGGTGGTGCTGAAGTTGATGACACATCCTATGCTGTATCCTGCAGAGACTATATTCAGTCACTGAACATTTCTTTTCATTTTCAGAAGCATCTTGTTCTTCCGTAGTTCTTTTGAAGTGGTTGCAGAGGTACATCATATATAGGCTGCATTTGTAAGAGCCCTAACTTTACCAAAAGTGCAAGGTATTCCTTTGGGAGTGGAGCCTTTTAGCTCCAGCACGTAGTTCTATGATGCAAAGTATGTTTGGAAAGTATTTTTCCTCCCATGGTTTGGATGCCCCATTCCCTCTAATTAAAAGATAAATACACTGAGGATTTGTGCAATTACCAACCTGAAATAAGGGCACTAAATAATATAAAAGAGCAACAGCTAAGCAGTCAAAGCAATTTCCTTAGTTTCAGAAATTTGAGCACTGCCTCAAATGCTACTAATCAGGTAGATATGAAAGTAAAGAATCAGTGTTTGGGAGTCAATGTTGATGTTGTCTTCTTTATCTTTGCTGCATAAACATCTGCTAAAATTCACTACTGTTTCAAGGTTATATAATAGACAAAAGTGATTATTACAAAACATTACTCTACCAGCAAAAACATAAAGGTCAAGGTTGGACTGACAGCCAAGCCCACTGGGCTGTCAGTCCAAACAAGCCCAGCAAAGATTTCCAGCAGCACTGTATCAAACTGTCGCGACCAAACATCAAATTGAGGCCAAACATCAAATTCATATGACATCAGATAAGTCATACAAGAGTATTTACTGGGAGACTCAAATAGAAAAAGCGTGAAGTAGGCCACTATCTTACAGACAATGCGAACCCCTAAGGAGCTAATTATAAAATATCAAGGAAGAATAATCTTTTAAGATCAGACCACACTGCATCAAGCCTTTCCTCACCCCATCTCTCCTACAGAAATCTGGTCTCCAGGCCACATTTGCGCTGAGAAAGAGCAGAGAGTGCGGGTAATTTCTTCTCCAGTCCCTCTTACCTCCAACTGTCCCGGGAAATTCTCTCCTACCTCCTCTATTTATCTGCTTTATGAATCCTCAAAGAATTTAAATATGGAACAGACCATCTTAAACCTTGATGAGCACAAATTTCAATTTATTTGTCGATTGATAACCAACTTTAACAAAGCAGCTAACAGTCTTACACATCTACTCATTCTAAAGCACTAAAAATCACTACTAACACAAACAGAAGTGGAGATTCTTCTTAACACAGTTTAAAAATTCCAGACGTCTAAGGAATAATTTCCAAAAAGGAGATTAAAACAAAACCAGGAAGAGTCATTATGGTTTGTTTTACAAATATTCCATATAACAGAAATCTGCAATTTTACCTGGTATTGTCCTGCAAGAGGTTTTATCAGATGATAAAGAGAAAAGTGAAAATTTACATGTGATAAACACATTGATCAATATTTGAGAAAATAGAAGAACTTCTAAAAAATGTCTAAAGTCAGTGTCAACTTGTTTTCACCTTTATTACCAATAGATTTTAAACAGAAGAGAAAAACTGTGATAAGAATGTGAGGAGCAACAGTCAACCAACAGGACTCAGCTGTATCATAATGAACTGTTCAAAGATCAAAGAACAAATGGAAACTGTGCTGGAGACTCACCCCACTATGGTTAAGCAGTTCAGTAAATCCCAGCACCCAGTACTGGATTAAAAAAAACCTGAGCTACAGGGAGCAAAACACCATTGTGGTGTAAATGCACTTTGGTGGTTCAAATTCAACTGAGTTGAATTGCCTGTAAACTGGCAGACACTGGGCCTAACCAGGTATTATCTGTTCACAACACCTCAGCTCTTAGACAGATCAAATATCATCTGTTGTCTCCCTGCCAACTTAGAAAAATCAGAAGCTGACACAAACACCGTCTCATCTGCTTGAGCCAATTCAAAAGAAAGGAGATTATGTGTCACAGACTGATCTGGATCAAATTTGCACTGTATGCTCCAGCAAAGTGTGTAGCCACCCATAACGGTAAGAGGCCTTTGAGGAAAAGTTTGGCGAACTGGATTCTTAGGCCAACTGAAGGTTGCATTTGAAACAAACGAGTAGCAAAATAAATTAAGAAATGCTAAGTGAAGTGATACACAGAAGCAGGCAAAGGAAATGTTTCTTCCTGTTGAATATTTAAACTATTTCAAGGAAAAATTATAAACAGAACATCTGTCAGAAAAGAATGTACTATGGTGAATCTTTGTGGTGACTGATGCCAAAGTCACCACATGAAAAGCTGGGACATGGGGCCAGATGAAGACTGGAGCCAAACATGACACCAATGTCAAGGGCTCATCACTGCCACATAGGGAGGAAACAGCTTTAAAATCACAAAGAGGAGAATTCAGTGACACTCCATCTCAGGTGATCATCTAGACACAATTTATTGTATTTGTAAATGAATGAGAGCTTGTTACCCATTCTCAGTTGTTAAAAGTTCACTAGTAAACAATGGAAACTGAAACAAACTAGTAAGAACAGAATACAGAAAAGCACAGACTAGAAACTGTAGGCTCTTTAGCATTTAATGTCTCATTCGTTCAGTGCACCTTCCATTTAAATTACCTGTTATCATGTAAAAATATATCTCATTTATTAAAAACCATGTGATATTTTTCCACTTACAGAAATACGTAATTTTGAAAGGCAAAAATGCTTCTCTTCCCAAGGTGTTGAATACCAACAGTGACACTGAGAATATGACCACAGCAGATCAAAACAGTGAAGGTGATATCAGATACTGTCAGCTTCAAATATTTCATGAAAAATGAGGAAGCATTAAATGCTTTTCCAGAAGTTTACAAACCTTAAACCTGTACAGTCACCCAGCATAAATCCATAAAACTCTTCAGATTACTTTATCTGTCAATTGCCAGCATCTACCCATTTGTCACTTAATACCAGAAGTGCTTAACACAAGCAAAATCCTATCTTCTATATCATGAAAATACTGCTGAGGCAGTGAAACATGTTGCATGTACTTTAGATGGAGTACACAAAGTGAAAAAGTGTTTTATCAGTAACAAAGAGCAAAATCATTTCTCTAGTGCACAATCTAGCAACTGAATGCATTAATGTGTATGGAATTCACATCAGAACAGTATAAAACAATGCACATGGTGTTATACCTACAGCACATGAAGTGGTGATGTACATTAACTGAAAAAAGAACATGTGTTGCTATTGATTCTCCTGCTAAACTCTCACAGAACATGCATTACAGTCTTTAAAGTTACAGAAGACCCCAGAAAAAGCTACATACATTGCAACTGTACACACATCAAGATTAACAACCTATTTGCAAGAGGAAGAAAAAATACAAATTACTTAAATTAAATTATCTTAAATTTAGAAAAGATATGGAAAACAAGAACATCAAGTACAAGGTGTTAGTAGGGAAAAAACGTCTCTTTTTAAACGGGATTGAGAAATAGCATTGGAAAAGCATATCCCCAAATGACTAACACTAACTATAACCTTGAACTATCTTCCTTCCTCATGACTGTACACAAATACTTGTCAGAGAAGGCCTCTCTTAAGGCCACATTCAACGCTCTTGCACACTATAATTACTTGCATTGGATCATCACATCAGCTTCTTCGTCACAAATAGGAACCTGTTTCCTTGGTTTCTTTTCAAAGAGCAACACGTCTCTCCTGATCAAAAAATGGGATTTTCTGAAATGCTAGGTGTGGAATAACCTCTATATTGCATCAATGGACTGATTATTCATAAACTGGTCCCTTAGTCTTATCAACACCTCCAAATATTTTAGGCATAGCATAAAGACCTATGCAAACTAATCAACAGATAAAATAATCTGAGAAACTAATAGAATCAAAATTTTTCTACACCAGATGAAGGAGGAATATCTTTGAATACTTCTGCCAATGCTGAATACTTAAAATAAAGAACTAGTTCATAGTGGAACTGACAGGTCTTAAAATATGGTACCAAATATAAGACTTGTGAAGCATGTAGGCTGGGATATAACACAACAGGAAATTCTGTTCACAGGAAGAGAAAATGAATGTGAAGAAACTCTTAAAACCAGAATTCCATTAATTATTATATGCAGCATGTTATTGGCTTCAGAATATTACAGTTGATTAATACATCTTTAAAGAAAAAAGGTGACATAAGTAGGCAATTTGCAGACATAATGCTGCCTACGCAGATATGTAAGACACAGTGAGGAAACGGTTCAAAAAACTCAGTTGCTATAAACATACACTTATTAAATTGCACATAAGCATCTAATCTGATTATACCAAAACAAAGTCATAATTACAGGAGAGTAATGTCATCACCATTTTTACATTACTACTGGAGGGTATATTAGGCAATGTTTGAAAAGACAAAAATATAGTCCCTCCCCTGGACTTCAGGTACATCTGATCCTTCAGTACTGTGCTGTATTGAGGCACAGACTCAGGGGGTGAAGCTGAGAAAAGTTTACTGTAATGAGTTGCTCTGTCCTCTGTAAACGTCTGTTTTTTTCCAGGCCCTATTCCCCACAAGTATATTCCTCAACTCACAAGTATAAAAGATCCCATTAACCACAATGGGACTATAAGAAGGGGCCAAAACTAGGAACTTTCTACCTTACTGAGTCAGTACCCTAAATCACTCATGATTACTTTTTGAGCCACTAGAAAGGGTATACAATCAAAAATACACATAAACATTGTCACTTGTACGTGTGTTGCTTTGGGACATTGCCTTCATAGTAAGCAATACCTCTAGGCAGAACACTGCAATAACTCATTTGTGAGGCCCATAGAAAACAATTATCATGAAGAGCACTAGAGCATTCATACAGTTTGAACTAACTATAGCAAAGACAGAAGAGTACTTTCTTACTAGAGGCACTTTCAAAATTACACCATTATTCTGAACTTTGTCTCTCATTGCATAGCTATGTAGCAATACTGCATCAGATCATTACCAAACACATTCCTAAAAAAAAATCTGTATTATGCTTGGCATTAAGCCAACTTCAGCCACAGTGCAGGTTCAGAGATGGTCACCAAGAGTCTTCCCTGATCCCAAAACTGCTAATCTGAATTTCTGGGGGTTTTTTTCCATTAAATATAGAGAAGTATAAAATCTACGTAAAACTTTAAAAGGGTTCCTGTTTACAATTTCACATAGGCATTGATACAATTTGCACTGCATGTGTACTGTTGTATATACAAATTATTATTAACTCACCCTCCTTCACTTTCCGCCTCCTCAGAGCTGGTAGTTTCTCTTGCGCCAGAAGTTGTCTCAGCTTTTCTCCGCCTTGTTGCTCTGTGTGACGGGCTAACTCTCTGAACGTCACCTTTCCCCTGAAGCTCGTTTCGAACAAGCTCTTCAAGCTTTGGAATAGCTTCTTTCAGAAATTCCACCTCTCTCTTCAGTTCGTCCACACTTAGTAGCAGGCCATTCAATTTTTCTAATATCTGCAGTTGCCTCCCATGTAAAACCATCACCGCTCCTTGCTCATTAGGAGCCTCATTTTGCCAGCCCACAGAATTAAGTCTGTTACCTATATCCTGGAACGCACGTACACGCACAGCTGCCCCACGTTTTCGGATCTTGCGGTACCAAACCAGCACCAGGCTTAATCCAGCAGTCCCTGCCATTACACCCAGTATGAGTCCTTTATTTTCGAAGGGAGACATTTCTGCACGCTCCTAAAATTACGAGACAACAATAACAGAGTTTAAGACGTTTTCCCTTACTCTACCCAAACGACTTGCTTTGCTTTGGCGTGTAAGGCTGGAACAGCTGGCGCCTGCCGCAGGCACAAAGTTACACCACAACTCTTGCAGGTTCTGCAAGAACCTTCTACAAGGCTCTGTGTATATATCAGACAGTAAAACCAGGACGGAGGTGGGTTTGGGGTGTGAGGGGCGCCGGCACGCGCGCAGGACCGCAGCCTTCACTTCCAACCATCCCGGCACCCCGGGATTTGTTTGTTTCAAGGCGAGAAACCCATATAATCGGATTTTCAGCCACTGCAGAGGCAGGAACCCAGCTGTCAGGCCGGAGCGCCGCCCGGAGGGGCGTCTCGACCGTCCCACTTCCCCCCAGCCCCAGTGCGCCGAGGGGCTGCCAGAGCCCCGCGGTCGCCGCCCCGCAGCCCGCTCCAGCCCCGACCCTGGCCCCGGCAGCCCCAGCAGCGCCGGCCCCGAGCCCGGCCGGCCCCTGGTACATACGTACGGCCCGAACGGAACGGAGCAGTCCGGGAGCGGCGGCGCGTCCGGCCCGGGCGGCCCCGCAGCAATCCCGCCGCGGCACAGGGGGCGGCGGCGGAGCCGCCCCGGGGCGGTGATACCCGGATCGAGGGGGACGGGCCTCGGCCGCTCTGCTGGCCGGGCTGCCCGGGAGACGGGCCTACCTTGTGGAGGAGGGACTCCCGCAGCGCTGGGAATCCCGCCGGGCCGTGCTGCCGGGGGACGCCCGGCGGCACCTGCCACACACATCGCTCGAATACGCCGTTCTAGGGCAAATGTACCTGTTCGTGTGTTTGTCCTCAGTCTGTTGGCTGCTCGATTTCGTTAATTTAACCTTTTGCTACTTCTAAGCTCGAGGGAAACTGTATTTCCACTCCATTAGTGGAGACCTGAAGCTTCAAAATCACAGCGAAACCCCGCCCAGTTGCCAGGAAGAGGGGCAGTCCCGACACAAAAGCTTCACTGCACTTTTAGCCACCTAAAGGCCCAAGGCTGATTTCGCTGAAGCCCGTTTTAGATTGCCCAAAGTCATGGAGGGACTCATAGAATGGTCGGGGTTGGAAGAGGACTATAAAGATCATCCAGTTCCAACCCCCCTGCTGTGGACAGGGACACCTTCAACTAGACCAGCCTGCTCAGAACCCCATCCAGCTTGGCCCTGAACACTTTCAGGGATGGGGTATCCACAACTTCCCAGTGCCTCACCACCCTCACAGTAAAGAATTTCTTCCTAATACCTAATCTAACTCTACTCCCTTTCAATTTGAACCCATTTGTCATTGTCCTGTCACTACCTCTTGTAAATAGCCTTGCCCCATCTTTCCTGTAAGTCCCCTTGAGGTACTGGAAGGCCACAATTAGGTTACCCAAAAATCTTCTCTTTTCCAGGCTGAATAATCCCAATTCTCTCAGCCTTTCCTCCTAAGAGAGGTGCTCCATCCCTCTGATCAACTTGATGGCCCTCCTCTGGACTCCCTCCAACAGGTCAATGTCCCTCATGTGCTGGGGACCCCAGAGCTGGATGCAGCACTCCAGGTGAGGTCTCAACAGAACAGAGTAGAGGGACAGAACTTGAGTTTAACAGTATTTCTTTCTGGATCTGCCTCCTATTTCTGTCCTTGAATGGAAGAAGGATCATCATAGCCAACCTGCTGTGACTATTTGTCTCCCTGAAGGCTTCTGGAGGGTGCCGATACATAACATCCCGCCACGACTGACAAGCATAAAACTCATGTTCTTATGTGTGAGGGCTTAAGGAAACCATTGTGGAAACCACTGTTTCTGTGCAATAAAAGAAGTTGCTCTTCAACAGCTGGAATTATCCTCAGCCATACCAATCAGAAATAAAGAACATGATGTAGTTCTTAAAAAACATACTAATGAGCTTTAAAAAGTAAACAAAGTGCTGTTAAAAACAAAAAAAACCTACCTAAATGAGGTACCAAGAACCCAAGAATTTTCAGTCTTAGTGCAAATTAGCAATTGTAAATCAGTCTGTCTATTTATCTTCAAACAAAGATTTAGTTTAAAGTAACTACAGCTCCTTACTAATTCTTCATTAATAACCTGAGGATGAAACTAGCCTTACATAAGACCAAACTACAATCTGAGTGAAAGGCAGAAATTTGTTAGAATGGAAAAATGAATACTCTTTAAGTATTCTACAGATTTCCTAGTTACGAAACAAAACCAACAACAACAGTATCATTTGTTCATGTTTGTAATTTGAGATTTTTAAACCAAGGAAGAAAATACCTTCAATTTTATGGAAACTTCACTAAATTCAAATTATTTTAACAAATTTCACTGTAAGTAATGGTTTTCAGATACACAATCCATCAGTGTTTTAAAATGTAACAAGACAACATGAATCTCCAAATGTTCCGGAATGGTAATTTAAATGTGTTGAATAACCTTTAATTTTTGTTTTCTTTTTTTTTTCAGTATAATCTGCTAAAATCCTTCTATAAGCCAATTAAAACAGGAAAGGATTTTTAAAAGAGAATTAATCAAAGGGCAAACACAGCGCAAAGCTGAAACAAAATACTATGGATGCAAATACCTAAGTGAGTATTTTCAGAGATTTTTCAAAGTGACTGTCGCAGGCTGCAGGCCTTAGACAAGGGGACCTGTTTTCAAAAAGTAATGGCCCAGGAGAATTGCCACCTACAGCTGCTTGGATATGTAGCAAGTGTGAAAATCAAGTCCCCTGTCTGGTCTAAAAGTCCTTGTTTGCTTTTTACCCATGGCCATTTTACCCAGGCAGAGCAGTGTGGAAGCACAGAAGTTATTGCATGTATGTAGTAACCTTCCAGAAGACAACAGCTTTCCAACCTGAGGAACTAAACATGCATTTACCCAGATTTGACACAATTCAATTGGCCTGAATATGTCATAAGTTCTAAAAAACTGAAATAAACTTTTTAGAAAAGTACTGTTCTTCTACACGCAAAAGAAACTTCGTACTTGAAGTCCTAAAAAACATGCAAGCCCAGACAACCATCTGTTATAAAATGGGCTGCCCCAAATATTTTTAATGTATTTTCAGCCTTACTTCCTAAGAAGACAAAGCTTATGCCCCCAGGTTCTCCGTGTGCTGTTCTTCTGTCGAGCAACACCGTGACACTTTCCCAACCCATTAGCTCCTGAACCTGGAATTAATTTCAGACAATTGTGACAGAAGAAAAATGTCCAGTTCATAGAATCATAGAATCATAGAATGGTTTGGGTTGGAAGGCACCTTAACGATCATCTAGTTCTAACCCCGCTGCCTTGGGCAGGGACACCCTTCACTAGACCAGGTTGCTCAGGGCCCCATCCAACCTGGCTTCAAACACTTTCAGGGATGGGACATCCACACCGTCTCTGGGCACCCTGTTCCAGTGCCTCACCACCCTCACAGTAAAGAATTTCTTCTTTACTAATCTAATCTAAATCTCTCATCTTTTAATCTAAAACCCTTGTCCTGTCACTAGTGAAAAGTCATTCTCTCTCTTTTTTATAGACTCTTTTAAGTATTGAAAGGCTGCTCCAAGTAGTTTCAAGAAGGCCAGCAGCTCTGGGGTGGTAAGACCCTGTGAACATCCTGCCTCTGTCTACCCCTGGCCCCAGGCAGATGTACAGGCATGACCTTACCACACCAGTGTTGCAACACAGACACACCTGCCTAGGACACCAACCTTCTTACAGCACTATTTTTGTAAAACCAGGCCATGTTGTTTACTGGTCTTTTGGGAAATCTTGAACTTGGACAGTATTTTTGTGTCATGTTAGAAAAGTTAGCTTATTATTGAGTGATTGTGTTCAATGGATCAGAGAACCATGACATCGTAAGTAATTAATTCATGCTGTTTTCAGACAAGGTATAGCCTTATTTACTGGTGGTTTCTTTTTTGTATGGGAGGCATTCGTATTTTACAATTGACATAAAATTCTTCAGCTGTAATTCTTCTGTACATTTATGGTATGCTGTTCTTTCTGAAATGCTCCTCCACCCCCTGCCCCCAACTAGAGATTAATCTACTGCTTGTAACAAATACAAAAACCTTTAATGTATTAGTAACAGTTCATATTTTTTACTTCAGTAGTTGTCTTGTAGGCATAAAGTCAAATGTTGTTAATAAGTCACCAAACATTGTGAAAGCTTAAACACCTTTGACCAGACTTGCAACCAGCCTGCCAGAAAACCTACTGTTCTATCAAGTGTTATTGAATTCTCTTGAGTTTTTTGCTATAAAAACAAAATCATATCTTACCTCAAAGGGAAGCATTCACTATCAGACTTGTCTATATTCTCTGCTGCTTTTGCCCTGAACAGTTGTCCAATGCCCTTAATGAAAAATTAATCAACTGAAGTTTCAAGATGATGGGTAATAGCACACTGACCTTTTCTGCTTTCTTGAAATAAAGATATACTGCTTAGCACAGTTCCATGAGGAGATGAGACTGCTGCTGCCTTTATGTCGCTGGGCGTAAAAATCTAAGTGTACTTCCACATCCTCTCCAATATTTTTGGATTTTTGGCCAATCTCAGTCAAATTCTACAGAGAACTTCTGACAAATTTCTTTGAGTCAGTTGATCTTTTAAAGGAGAAAGCCCTGAATTAGTGCCACCAGTATAGGAAAGATTGCTTATCCCTTCATGCACAACTGAGAACCCACACAGGAGAAAAGCATTTTGCAAGGACAGGAGCAGAGCTCACATTTTAGTAGATGTGAGGGAATCGAACTGCAAGATATAACCTGATAGGAAACCTGGCTTCATTAGTTCAACTACACTAATAAATAAACCATCTGTTTATTTATTTATTTTGTCGATAGGATCCAGTGCTGCAGTTTCAGCCAAGTACAAATGGTCACTGCTGGCATGGCATTTCAAAAAGAAAAAGAAAAAAAGGAAAAAAAAAAGAAAAAACGTACATGCTGTTACTGCTTCTTTGCGTCTTCAGGAAACTAAAGGACATTATCAAACTATATTTATGCAAGCTGTGTTAGTTTTTTCAGGCCAAGGTACGTGATTCAGTTTCCTTGATGTAAGAGATGAGAGTTGGCAGCCCAAAAGAGTTTGCATATGTTGTGTTGACAACAATAGAAATAAATACTCAAGGCTATATCTGATGTAATTCCACAGCACTGTCTGATTTTCATAGAGAGAAATGGTCCTAGGAGTGCCTGGGTATACTCCAAAGAGGAAAAACATATGAATAGTTATAAAAACAAAAAAAATATGTGTGCATAAATGTATATTTTACAGATATATTTTTATGTTCCTTGGGAGTCAAAACTCAAAGAGTCAAACTTTTTATGAATATATGTGTATGTACACACACATATTCTACATCACCTGCTGTATTTGAATGAGAAGTGTCTTTTTTTTTTCAGCTTCCCTATCAATATGCTATTTCAGAGCATATTACAGTATTTTAAAGAGCTTTACTGTTTCCGTCTGCAAATGGCAGTGTGCTCCTTCCTGAACTCCACAGATCAATCCCTCCAGTAAATATCAACTACTATATGGCCCTAGGATGTCTGCAACTTCACATTAAAAAAAAATCATCATCCAGATGATGTGGTCTGTTCTTCCATTATTTTTGCCCCTCTTCTGTACTACCACTTGTGAGCTTATAAAAAAAATTCCCTTCTGCTTTTAAGTTTTCATCTAGTCCACTAAGGCTTTGTGAACATTAGCAAGCAGTGGGGACTGACAGGCTGTAGACAAAACAGCTCATGCTGATGTCATGACATCCATGCTGTGTCCTGGGTTAACTTCTGGCTAGCTCCAAGCTGGATCACAGGGGCTGTGTGCCCATTTCTGGTTACAGTGCCTTGGGTTGCTTCTGCAATGGATATTGCCAAAGTGCAACTCATGTGCTCTGTGCCTGGTACATGGTGAAGCAAAGCTTGCCAAGAAATTTGCCTCCCAAGTGCACACCTAGTCCAACCCAAATCATTATTCGATACATATATATTTACACTAAGAGGTTTTGATGAGAGTTACACAATCATTCAGGTAGGACAGAGCAAATATAGGGAGGGAGCTCACCTCCCCTTGGCAATTGCTGTGTGCTAGTAAAGGGATTCCTCCTTCATTGTAGAATCACTTTTGGACAATGACAATGACAATCAATAATTGCAGCTAAAAGTATAAGGAAAAGTGATGAAATTAGGTGAGTTAAGGGGCAGCATAAACAAACTTCTAATCACTTAGAAGATTTTTGCTGTATACAAGCAAGATAAGAGTTCTTTTGCTATATACAAGATTTCTACTGTATTCAATGCACATACACATACATATACACTCACACAAATATATTTAGTTTTGCAGATTGTTTTCAGTCCTGTGATGTGCTTTTTCAGAAGGAGATGGGTCTGTTAAAGTAAGATGTAAATGTACATTTTATTATTTTAATTGGTGTTTGCACTCAGTCCTGGTGTTTAAGAAGCTTTTCCTCTGATTCTGAGCTTCAGATTCCTGAAGGCTAAGAGTAAATAAGCCAGGTGGCCTTTCTGAATTTTGGCAAGATGGGCTTACAAGCCCCTTGCTCATTCATAGTTCTAGTGCTGCTATCTTGTGGAAAAAGAGGCTGCAGCAACTGCAACACTTGTAAAAGATGGTATTAAGATTCATTGTCAAGAATGGTAATTACGGCATTTGAAAGAAACATTTGCATATTTTTTCTAATTTAGAAAAACTGTGTTAGTGTGATTACTCCAGTGGGTTATATGGGGAATCATTATTCACTGTGGTCCAGATTATGATTTGGGCTGTTTTGACTGCCCAAAATTTTGTAATTCATTTTTGCAGAAGATCCCTCCCAGTACATTCTGGTGTATAAGCACTACTCTCGTCTGTGAAAGCAGTGAAACTGTTTCTTCTATTGTCACTTCTTATAGACACTATTTAAAACTACTGCTTGGTTACTCAACATGGAGTTTCAAAAATCCAAATCTAATAAACAGCTAGAAAAGCATCTCAGGCAACATTGCACTATTACTCTGAAACAGGCAGATTTTTGGCCAGGGTAGTTGTTTTCAAAGCATTTTCACCGGCACGTGAAAATTCAGTCAAACTGAAATACCACTTATTTCTGAGAGCAACAGAGTAAGATTCCAGCTTTAAGAAGAAATTGTACCAACAACTGAAACATGTTTTTCTGTTTTCTTGGTTTGTTTTCCAATGCACATGCAAATACAGATTTGTATGTCAACAGGCACATAAAATACTTGACACACTTCTATTGCATACTGATATAATCCACTTTAGCAAGCTACTAAGCAGTTTTTCAATATCATCTGTGCTCGTAAAAGAGGCACTTTATATTTTACCCAATAGTCTTCGATTGGGAAAGTGGGACTTTAGCAACAAAAACACCTAGAAAAGTCAAATACAGAAATGGAAGGGCTTGTCCCAGATTTGGCAAAATGAAAAGTTAATGTCAAATCAATTTGATTAAGTTGTGTTTATTTCAATGGGATTGTATCTGTCACTTTGTAAATAGAATGAGAATGTAAAGGTTGGTTTGGTTTTATTTGGTCTTATTTCAAAGGCAAGAAAATAATTTCCAAAAGTATTGTGGCATATATGATATATACCAAAATATGGTATATCTTCCAGTTGCAAACCGATCCTTTTTTACATTTCTATTTTATATTAAAAAAATTTAAATTTAAAATGCCTATAAAGGTGTCTGTAGATCTTCATTCCTCACACAAGCCCTACTGAGCAAAAAGTTTGAAATAAGCATGAAATCTAGCACTACACTCTGAACAATTCTGATACACATCAAGTTCCTCTGAAGTGCCAACAGTGTGAAGCAACAAATGATGTTGATAAGTTATCCATTTCACTATTTTGCATGAGATCCTGGTTCCAAAATGCAGAAAGAATGCTAAAAAAGTGCATATTTTTTAAAATTAGTGCAGTGTTCTCCCAAATGAGCATGCAAGCAGAATTTGTAAATGTGTAGAATAAGAAATCTGTTTAATTTCAGGATACTTTCTACTCATTTGTGTTAGGCTGCAAACTAATGTTGGGCAATAACATTTTGATCTTCCTTGATATTTTTGTCAAAAACATCATCACGTCACTATTAAGTGTCATGATGCAGTTATGTCTCCGTGCCATGATGTTTGGAACTGCCGATGCAGGGCTTGCCAGTGGGAGTTTGGAGAGCAAGCAACCAGCAGCACCGGGCTGAGGAGCTCAGGGCACAAGTCGGATACTGGCTGACTCCAAAGCAACCCACGATCCAAATGCCTCCCCATAATCAGTGTTTGTTCTCTCAGTCCTCAACAGCAAAGCTTTTGCAGGGGTAGTTTGAGGCACACACCGCCCTGGGGACAACACCTGTCTCACAATCACACGGCACCCTGCCATTTGCCACTGTCTCTTCACCCCAAACTCTGCCAACGCTAAAGGCGCAACAGCCCCCTCCTGCCAAGGGGTGCTGGCACCGGAGCTCAGGACAAGGCCGGGAGAAGGGGTACCCGTGCCGAAGCACCCCCCTGGCACAAAAGCTAATCGGTCCGTGCCAGCCATGGGCAGGCACAGCCTGGGAACCACAACTGTCACAGGAGCCGGGTCACACGGCAGCCTTGCAATGAAGTGTGAAATAAATCGCTGCCTGGTTTCAGGGCGGGTGTGACCCGTGTGAGAGCAGGGCAGGTGATGTGCCGCCCCAAGACAGCAGGGGACAGGAGCCACACCGCGTACTGTGCCGTGCACAGCGTGCGTGCTCCTAGGGCAGGAGGGGTGCGCAGCCCACCGCGTTCCCGAGTCTCTGCCCACACACCACAGGCTCTGGGAAACGCCCAGCAGCCGCGGGTTATTGTTCCGGAGGGATTTCCACCCCCACCTCCGTCTCCCCTCGGCGCCCTCAGACGCGGCCGCACCGCAATGGCGCCACCGGGTGGCGCCCGAGCGCCACCGCCCCGCGGCCGCCGGGGCCGGGTCGCCGTCCCGCGCTCCTTCCCTCCCTCAGCCCGGCGGCGGCGCCGGGAACGCGCCCGAAGGAAAAGTCCTCACGCGCTCCCGCCGCCGCTGTTCCTCTCTTGTCCGGGTGCTTCGCGGTGCATTTCTAGGGAGCAAATGGCACCGGCGTGCCACGGGTTCCCGCTGCCACCTAAAGCAGCACACCTACACCCTCCCTTGCGCTCAATCCCGCGTTCATTAGGTCGCTCGACTCACTGACTTGGCTGAAAAAAACCCACGGTTTTTGTTGTTACTATTCTGCAAGGTTGGTGGGTTGAATCTGCTCAAGGAAAAGCCCTTTGTGAGGAAAAAAAGCAGGAGCACTCGGCCAGGAGCTGAAGGAGAAAGGTGACTGATGTGGCTCATCTCATGGAGTGCACCACTAATTGCAATGGTTGTCGGAGAAAGGGTACAAGGTACAAATACAGAAAGACAACACCTTCTATCCTGTACCTGTACCAGAGGGGTAATAACAGATATCTCAGAACTAGTTGAAAGAGCAGCAGAGATCTTTGTGGTGGATGTTTCTAGTGTAGATATAAATTAGAGTAATTCTCATGGTGTGTTCTGTGTAAGCTGATCCTTGTTAAGAAAAATTCAGCTCGGTGTTATGTCCTTCAAGTCTTAAATAAAATAAAAAATCAAAGAAAAATGCAGTAGAACAGATGCTCAGAAGAGAAGTCGAATAATCACAATTAAAAACTGGAGGTAGAAGCAAAGAAGTTAGAAATAAAGGAAGATGAAGTAAGTTTCTGTAAAATTTTAAATGCCAAGAGAGCTTGTCTCTGCAACAAAGGTGGTCATGACCTGGATTCCTTCCTCCTGAATTTTAAATTTCTAACCAGGTTACATAGGTACTGGTTTTCTGTAACTTCTATGGAGAAAAAAGCCCCTTAAAATGGGAAAAAAATCTCCAAGCTGGATATCAGTAGTTGTCCAACTGC